CCCCTTTGGGTATCTGGGGATAACTCACTTGTCTCTCTGCATTACTGTCACTGCTTACTTAAAGATGTTTTACCTTTACCTTACCTAAAGGAACTTTAGGTAAGTTCCTTTACCTCTGAGCTTACTTTTAGAACATACTGTTGTTTGTAGCTCCTCATATTTTCCTGATATGAATGAGTTTGGGTGGATATAGATTGGTACGGCCTCATATGGTCAAGTAGGCCTTTGCCTTTTTCTTAATTCTTATGTTCTTATTCCTTATGATTTTATGTTAAACATGCTTTATGTAAAATTAAGTTAGATTTGTTCCCTTGTTAATCTTAATATCTTGTTGGCAGTTAACACCAGAGGATTCAGTAATGATTGAAGACTACCAGAAGGAGGAAAATGAGGCAAGGGAAATTGCCCACAAAGTAAATATAGTTTCCACTAAAGACAAGGATAGAGAAAAAGAAAAGGAAAAAGAAAGAGAAGATGAAGAAAAAGAAAAAGATGAACATAGGCACTTTGAAAGATACAGCACTAACCAAAAGATTCAACTCTGCGTTGCTCTGTTAAAGGTGTGTAGTACTGGGATGTATTATACAGTTGCCCTGTTAAAGGTGTGTAGTACTGGGATGTATTATACAGTTGCCCTGTTAAAGGTGTGTAGTACTGGGATGTATTATACAGCTGCTCTGTTAAAGGTGTGTAGTACTGAGATGTATTATACAGTTTGACTAATCCTCAGTGCCAATTTTTGTTTAAAGGATGTTGCTAATTACTATTTTCACTAAACTACAATAATCCAGTACATTTATATATTATAGTTTATAATACTTAAGTACATTATTACGGTTTTCCAGGAGTAAAATAGCTGTGGTGACAGTATCAGCTGGTGTTTAAACCTACCTGTTCTCTGACACCATGGAAATGTAACTCTCTTGCCTAACCTAACCAAATATGCACAAATCAAAGCAACCCGCCTAACCTATCGAGTCTGATGTATTGAAAATGTCACTATTATGCTGCTTGAGTTTTTACCGCTATTACTTAAAATTTTTTAAGGTACAGGGTATTTGTCTATACCATTAAAAAATGGCAGGTATTCGGTGAGAGAATGGGTTGGTTTAAACCTGCTCTGCCAACATGATTAACTGTTCACTATTATCATTGTATTGTATTTATTTTATATAGTGTTTTGTGTAATATTTTTGCCTCGCTATTTGGTACTGATAACCAACAGGTTGGTGCGTGGGAACACTTCGTGGAACTCTCAAGACGCTTCCCAGATTATTACCTCGTATCTATTCATCCTGTTAGTCAAGCCCTTTGCCAGTTGATACATGCTACTATTGAACCAATTTACAGAAAGTAAGTGAAATTTTACTTTGTGTGTTTAGATGACTGTATAATTATTCACCTGTTATTGAACCTGCTGTGACCAACCACTCCCAAGAAACTGATACATTGATGTAACTGACCCCATGCTCTGCTGAATTTGTACTTGTTACACGGAATACTGTCTGCACCATATGGCTTCAGCATTTCCTCATAGATATCACGTTCTTGTCATTTCATTGTGAGCTCTTGGGTTGATCCTAACTTTTTTAATAAATTCTGCTTTTCTGTTCAGTTGGTGACACTACATATTTCTTCTTGGCCACTTGATCAACATATTAATTTTATTGGAAGATAATGTACTTTTGTTTTATGATTATTTTTCCTGATGGCTGAACCAGGATTCTGAGTCTGATACTTATGCAAACCTGGTTTAACTTACACGACCAAGGTATCCATAATTTTGGCCAGTTGATGACAACTATTGAGAAATGTGGCAGTCAAAGAGTAACTAATTACCCAAATGTTGTTATAGGATGAGAGTTATGCATGTCGTGTTCGATCTTCCCAGTACTCTATCGTATGACGCTTTGAAACTACTGATGGTTTTGGCACCCATCGCCTTTTCACATAACTTATTCTAAGTGTCTACCACTGTTTGCAAAAGAGAACTTTCTAATATTTGTTCAGCACCTTTGTGTCCGTGGCTTGAATTTGTGACCTCTTGTTCTTGAAGCTGCAGGTTTCAAGTATTCCACCTTCATCAATTTTGTCGATTCCTGTTACTATTTTGTGTGTTGTGATCATATCACCTTTTTTCCTTCTATCTTTGGCATATTTAATAGCCTTTCTTCGTAGCTGTTGTTTTCAGTTTAGGAAGCCATTTATTAGTGTGTGTGTGTGTGTGTGTTGACACTGAGCCTGATTATTGGCTGTTCTCTTCTGATGTACAGATTCCATTTTCAATATAATTTTTAACGATACATATTTTAATTCATTATTCTACTTCTACTGAATGAATCATACATGTATGCTCTTGGCCTAACTGACTGCACTGTGCGGGTCATACATGTATGCCTTAGAGTGCTGCATTAAGAGTGTCCTGCACATACAAGGGGGCTCACATTTGCTTCCTCAGGCATCTAGTAACCATTCCCAATCTTTAAAAACAATCTAGAGTTCCTTGTAGGGCCTTGGTATAAATGGGAGGACCATGTCTGGCACATCACCACCCAGTATCTGGACATACAGGGCGGCCATAATAGGTACCACTGAACATTTAACAAGCAAATGTGTGATTTTCACCTGTGTATTTACAGGCAAAGTACATGCTATATGCAATTATAAAATTTAGGCTTATATATTTATGAATAAATTCATTAGGTGCATATATTTATACTTATAAGATTGTATATTTATAAGATTGATCTGATTATAAATTCTTTTCAGGGTGTGCACTCTACCTAGTCGACTCAAAGGGACGGTTGTTGAACTACTCAATAACCCACTGGCTCCTCGGCCAGCATATAACTTCAATGATGTGTGTACAACAATATTTCCGATGCTAAGCACTTTGGGGCCACATCTGTACATCGACCCTGGCCTAATGTACAAGGTTCTCCGTGTAGCCCGAGTGGCACTAAAACAGGTAAAGAAATTCCGTTAATTTTTATTATCCGTCATCATAACATTGCAACAGTATTTAATTGGTGGTATTTTAGCTTTCTAAACTAAATAGCCCTTTCAAGAAATTACAGTTCCTCTCTTTTGTAGGGAATACCCTTAGCTATTCACACGATTATTTTATTAACATGCAGTATTTGCAATATTTATGTGATATGAAAAAGCGTTTCTGTGTGGAATTAAAATGCTAAAAAATTCAAAGATTGTATATGATGGTGTGATGAAGGTGTCTGTCGCACCCTGGTTGCAGGCTTCCCATTCATTGAATGATAAAACATATAAACATCACAACACAAAGACCTCTCACTAATGCCATGTCTGGGGATTCACGGTAGTTTCAGCTGACAATAATCTTGGAAGTTTTGTAAGAACCACTTGTATGTATATTTATATGCAATGAATTGTTAACGATATTTTATACAATATGAAATGTGTAAGTCCTAAGACGAAGGAAGCTCATAAAGGGTTGGATTAAGGCTATTTCGTGCATCATCAGAAATAGTTTCTGCACAAAATGTTAGGTACAATATTGCAGAAACCAACCCATCCTCTTGTTTAGATAGTACCTATTGTGTACAATATTGCAGAAACCAACCCATCCTCTTGTTTAGATAGTACCTATTGTGTACAATATTGCAGAAACCAACCCATCCTCTTGTTTAGATAGTACCTATTGTGTACAATATTGCAGAAACCAACCCATCCTCCTGTTTAGATAGTACCTATTGTGTACAATATTGCAGAAACCAACCCATCCTCTTGTTTAGATAGTACCTATTGTGTACAATATTGCAGAAACCAACCCATCCTCTTGTTTAGATAGTACCTATTGTGTACAATATTGCAGAAACCAACCCATCCTCTTGTTTAGATAGTACCTATTGTGTACAATATTGCAGAAACCAACCCATCCTCTTGTTTAGATAGTACCTATTGTGTACAATATTGCAGAAACCAACCCATCCTCCTGTTTAGATAGTACCTATTGTGTACAATATTGCAGAAACCAACCCATCCTCCTGTTTAGATAGTACCTATTGTGTTAGAAATGTCAGAATTCGTACGTTTTTAGTTTTTAGAGAGTAGTATACTGACTAGTAAGGTATTCTTTTAAAATAAATGCAGCTAAAATACAAACTTAAATATTCCTAGGCCTAGGAATGTACTATACTGCACACACATGTACTATATTAGGCCTCAGATATAGTGTAATAGGCCTAGGGAGGTTGAATAGGTTAGTTTAGTTTGTCAAAGCAACACAAGTAAAAAAGTTTCTGGTTTGTCCAACTCAATAGTTCAGATTTCTATGTTCAAACTTCGTTGTTTGTCGGTATATATACTACGGTCCTCATTGTTACTACAATTACTACCCAAACAGGAGGATGGGATGCCGAAACCACTAGAGATCACATAAGACTAAATGCATTAGTGTGTTCTGATATGGAGGTTAGGGGGTGCTGTGACTTGCAGAGGTGCACCTTGAGGGCTTTGCCTCATATCCAAAATGGCTTCTGTAATCTACCTACTCTGTGTGGAATCTGAGAAAGTTGCATCATAATGATGTAAAAGAAGTGCTAAGTAAGCAGCTTTTGCACATTTTGAGATCAGAGCAAGTTACCAGATTGATTATTGTAAAATAGCATCAAATTGATAGTGTTATTGAACAGGTTTTCCATGCAAAGAAGAATTTCCAGCTTCTATTCAATTAAGCAACAGGACATTAAATGAACATTTATACAATCTTGATTAATTGTATTTGTTTTCCAGTTCTAAGTTTTATCAAGATAGTAATATTTTGCTTATAATTTTTAAGGTTAAAGTTGGAGCTGATGGAGTTCGCAACACATTCTATTATGAGTTCCTTGATGTTTTGGATGAAGCTCTTCTTCCATCGCTCTCCATGCTGGACTCCAACCCGTGCCTCGCTGAAGAAATTTGGGACACCCTAAAGATGTACCCCTATCAGCATAGGTAAGTTTTACAATTACTGTAAGCATATTATATAATTGGACATTGTGTTTACTTTGAATGGGTTCAGATCATTGTGTCTAGTTCCTAGCCCTTGACAAGGTCTTGATATTGATGACATTGATTAGACAGACTTGGTGCTTGCAGTCCTATGCACCACATCCACAGCACATTAACTAGAAAGTCATGCAGGAACCACCAAGCATGCTGTATTGGAAATACATGTGGGATACTTCACACTTTTAATTTACAAAAAGTGTAAATTAAATCCAGTGAAAAGTCAAGTGGGCCATAAGTACAGTTAGAAAACACCAGAGGTCCATAACTCTTCAAACTGCTACCAAAAGTACAGTATATGAAATATAAATTGCCATCCACACTTCCGTGGAAATAAACATTCCATTCATCTGGGATGTTTCGAGACCCATACAGTCCTGGTGAATGGAAAGTACATGAAATTTTGGGAATCATAGTAGAAGTTTTCAAGTTTGATCTTGATATGTGTCTACCAGAGGTATTCGATTAGCCTGGCTATCATAGTTATGTGGCCCTGTGGGTGTGAGCTACAAAGACAGCCTCATACCAGGCAATCACCAGAAAAGCATAGTCTCGGGGTCAGGCTGCAAAAGTAGAACAACTAAAAAATTATCCACAGGTTGACCACTAAATAGGATCATCAATAAAAAGCTACTGGTGACCTCCCTAAAATCTAGAATAAAAAAGTAATCCTTATATTCAAGAAAGAAGACCTGAACTAGACAAGTGTAACTGGTATTCATTCCTTGCAAAGTACTGGAAAATGAATCAAGATGAGAATGGTAGAGCGCTTGGAGAGAATAAACTTTGTAGCAAAGGACGAACATGGCTTTAAGGGGGGAAATCATATTTGACGAACTTGATAGATTGGTGATACAATTGTATGAACACCTTTGTTGTGTTGAAAGATTGATGGTGCAAATGTAGGAGCTAAGTCTTTGACAGGCAAGATATGGCAAGGGACCGAAAGTAAGGCATTGTGTTTGATAAGAATGAGTGTCAGAGTAAGACTAGAACATGTAGTAAATAGGAAGCATTTTCATCCAAGGAGTGGTCTATGCCATTTTCTATTTCCTATTTACATGACCAACTTACCTGAGTGTGTCCTTATATGTGCCTTGTTTACAGAGTATGCAAAGTAAAAAGCCAGCATTGTATATAATGAAATGCCCCTTTCTGGCTGGGCTTTGGTGGCTTCCTGGGCTACATTTCCTGAGAGAGCTTCCCATTCACAGCCACGTCAGTCTTAGGAGTTCTGTTGTCTTACCGGAGACAGAGGTGCAGAGAGCAGAGCGATTTTTATGATCATTCTCACATGGGAAACCATTCAAAAACACAGGCAAGACAATAGAAATAACTTAACTTAATTGTTTGTGAAAATGAAGCACTGAAACAGTCAACAGAAACTGTAAAAGAATCACTCAAAACTAATTATGTAGTTTATTTGAGACTGTTTATGAAACACCCCCTAGTGCGCTGAGCCACCAGCCAGTGACGACCTAGCAACCAGCCAGTTCAGTCTGGAGTTAAGTAAAAACTGAGGCCTAAAATACTGCAAGTAGATATATGGCTATTTATAGTTCAACTCAAACAGGTGCAAAGTAATGAAGATGGGAAAGCATGAATGGAAGCTAAAAGGAATTTACGTCCTAAGAAAATGGAAATATGAATGAGAATATGAAAGGAGACAAAGACTCGGGAGTAATCATCACTCAGCACTGCCACCAGAAGCTCTCACAAATGTCATTTGGAAAGCTAACAATTTTAAGAACTACATTTAGACATCTAAACAAGGCTTTGCTCAAGGCATTTACACAACCTATGTTTGACTACATTTAGAATACACAGCACCAGCAAAGAATCTACACCTTTTGAAGAACTAAATGAATGCTGTATTATATTTGACTGGTGGTTGATAGTGAGGCATGAAAGTCAGACAGCCATTTTTACCACTCCTCTCGTTCCTTACACACTTAGTGTAATTGTACTGCAATAAGTCAAAATAGTATGGGCAGTATCGAGACCCCAGAGGTTTAATTGCGTCACTTCTTGTAGCAGCCCGCAGGTGAAGCAGGCATCTAGATATCCAGTCATTATCAAGGTTGAACCATGTGTAAAGATTTGTGGGTTGGGTGTTTATACTTCTGTATTGTTATTTGATAAAATGCATTTATGTCTCGGTTATGAAACAATTTAACGTAGTCACATTTCTTGAATGAAACTGCTTCCATCACAACAAGCTTTGAAAACTATGAATGTTATGTTTATACCTAAGCTGCCTAAGTTATCACTTGTGTGTTGACCTTGCCATACTAAAGCAATCTCTTGTGTGTACATACACAAACGAATGTGTTTCATGTGACATAAAATCTTAACATAACACAATACTCTTAATCACATTATAATGGGGGTTTTGTTGACCATAAGTGGGTTTGTGGTTTTTATGTGTTTTATGTAAGTTTTGGTTTTTGTTATCACAAGTCGGCGTAGAAGAACTCTTAGAACCCTCTCCAGGTATGCTCCAGGTATGCCAGTATGCCACATCCAAATATTCTTCATTTGTAGAATTGGGTATATAAATATAAATATGAAATGGAACCATAGTGAAAATAAGTGTTTGTTTATTCCTGTTGTGAGATGGTTTATAGATGTCCACTTATCTATCAATTTATGGTATAATGAATTTGCATCACCAGCTCCTTCAATAGTTTTCAAGACAACTTAAGTTTTTTAATGCGGTATTGTGAAATTCCATCTGTGTACAAATGTTTTCTTGTTTGTGTTGTCTTACATTTGGTAAACATAATCCTTTTATTATTCCTCCAGTGGACAGTTTTCTTGGCATTTCCTTCTTTACATGATATTTGTGTCTGTCGATAATGTTAATTAAATGTAACATATTTAAATTCTGAACAAGAAAGATGTATACAAGAATATCACAAAACGGGAGGTTTCTATGAGAAAATATTTAATCTCTATATTGAAATCCAAGTCGCATTTGTGAACTTTCCAGGCACATAAAATATTTACTGAAGTATGGTGAGCAGGTGTCTCAGAAAGGTTGAGTCAGTAGCGCGTGTCTGTGGACACCAGGGATGCAGGTTCCATTCCATCATATGGCCACAATATATTCTCTAGAGAGCTTTAGTTGGGTATGCATTATATCTATCATATTTATATGTTACTTGCAGATACAAGCTTTATGGGCGGTGGAAAAATGAGTCGAGTAATCAGCATCCCATGCTTGTGAAGCATCACGCTAGACTCCTCAAGAAGGCCAAATTTATTATGATGCGAATCACGAAGGAGACCATAAAACCTGTGAGTCGGGGAATTGGCAAACTCACTCACAACAATCCAGGACCAGTTTTTAATTATGTAAGTTGTAATGTTTTTCAAAATTCCCATTTTGAATTAAGTGATTAGTTAATTTAAAAGCAATTACAGTAATACTAATTTGTTACATGTTCTTTAAGTGTCAGCATCTTCTCCACCTCTCTCACCTATGATAATGTATGTAATTTGTGCATGTGTATACAGTATATTGTATAGAATTTTTCCTGGTAAAATTCTTGGGCAGAATATAATTTATCTGTTTGCAGACAATTTACTTTGTAGATGGTCAACTTTTTTTCATAATCTTGTACCTCCTTATTCAGTTTTTTATTTTTGTAATTTTAAACCTTTTCAGATTTTGATACAAGTTCAGCTATATGATAACCTCATTACTCCAGTTGTGGACAGTTTCAAGTACCTAACATCTCTCTCGTATGACGTTCTGGGCTACTGCATTGTCGAAATCCTCTCTGAAAATAAGGACAGAATAGCTATTGATGGTTAGTTACTTTTTCAGTGTTATAATACTGTCATATGTGCAGCTCTGAAGGTTAAGAATATTATTAGTTCATAATAATAATTGCACTATAATAGGCCAGTTGAGAAGACATGATACATATTTTGAAGGCTCGTGTCATGATTTGTGCCTTAAATGAAAAGTTTACTAAATATTCTCCATTTTATGTTTTATTTTCAGCAACAAACATATCTTCATGGTTACAGTCACTAGCAAGTTTCTGTGGGTTTGTATACAAGAAGTATATCATAGATTTGGGTGGAATTCTTCAGTTTGTTGCAAATCAACTGAAGGCTGAAAAATCTATTGACCTGCTTATCCTGCGGGAAATTGTTCAGAAAATGGGTGGTACGGATACCCTTGAGGATTTAACGCCAGAACAGGTATTAACATCCACATTTACTGTTTGTGATTAATAAAAGGTAGCTGTTTTGGATTACAATGTTGACATATTTTGTAATTTGAGGGTAAACAAAGAGAGGACAGGCCAAATAACTGAAAGTAAGACATGGTGAATAAGGGATTGGGAATATGGATCAAGTATAAACAGTTCATGAGAAGAGAAGCAGTTTAAGGCGAGCGGAAGCTGTCTTGTATAGTGGTGCATATGCTGCAGTGAATAATTTTAAGTGCAGAAGGTACAGTGAATTGTTATTTTATTTTACCTTTTCAAGTAAATATCTTCCTACTCCACAATTGTGGGAAATGACAAAATTATTTATTAATGGTGGTATTTATCTTACCAGCTGGATGCTATGTGTGGAGGGGAGTTGCTGCGCCGGGAGGCGGGTCAGTATCAACAGGAAAGAAACACAAAGAGGTCTTCCATTCGTCTCAAGGAAGCTCTCTTGGAGAACAAATTAGCAATTCCTTTGTTGTTGCTCATGGCTCAACAGCGCTCATCTGTAGTATACAATCAGACCGAGTCTCCTCATCTCAAGCTGGTTGGGAAGCTTTATGACCAGGTCAGTGAGGAGATTTCATTTAAGAGGGTTTCAAGGACTTGTTTACATCTCCTGAGTAAACCCTAATCAAATTTCTTATTTTAATTTCTGTGAAGTTTTCAGGTACACATTTTATTAACGTTCTTAAAGTTAATTACCCTATGGCTCTAACTTGAGGAGCAACCAAGGTGCTATACAATAGTTCATAATATTTAGCTTACTATTCACTATAATTAACATTTAATTACAGAAAAATAAACTTTTATGTAATGTCATCTCCCCATCATTAATAATCAAAATGTCTTTATTTTACAGTGTCAAGACACAATGGTGCAATTTGGTTCATATCTCTTTCAAGTAGTGACAATCGAAGAGCTTAGTGATCGCTTGCCTAGCATTGGTACTCTTCTGTCAGACTGCCACATTAATGCAGATGTTGCATTCTTCCTTGCACGTCCACTGTTTATACACATGCTAAATGTAAGTCCATTGTTTCCACAGTAATTGTCATAATGTTTAATCTTGTACAATAATGTAGTTACTTGTTTTTAATATTTGGATTTAGTAATTTTACTTTGTTTAGTTTCTTTGGTCTCCATTTAATATCTTGAGAATATGGAATCTTTTTGTGCTAAATTTTATTTGATTGTTTTCAGTAATAAAACCTAATAATTGTGCATCAGTGTCTCAATGGTCCAAGTTTGTGACTAGACCTGGTTGGTGTTCTGGTCAAGTAAGCTATTAGGCACCGCTGCCCACAGTCTGATGTATGAATTACAACCTGGGTAATCGGGTATCTTCTGGAGGTGTCTCGTGGTGTACCTATTGCACTTTTTCTTTTCAAAGAGGTTATTTTGCATATTCTGCCTTACCTCCTGGTCTCGTAAAGAGATTTGCAGATTTGGAAATACTTTAGTTCCTCTTATATGATCTGTATAAATTATTAGGTATTGCTTGGCTGCACTCTGAAGAGTACAGTTTGAAAGAGTTTAAGAGGAAAGGCAAATATTCCTTACACACATGCTAGATGCTGCTCCACAGTCTTATCCAATACTATACCAACTAGACCATAATTGAAGTCCTGGCTTTCTGATTCGAATCCTTCAGGGGTGGTTATCTTGAGGTTATCTTGAGAAGATTTCGGGGCTTTTTTAGTGTCCCCGCGGCCCGGTCCTCGACCAGGCCTCTCCACCCCCAGGAAGCAGCCCGTGACAGCTGACTAACACCCAGGTACCTATTTTACTGCTAGGTAACAGGGGCATAGGGTGAAAGAAACTCTGCCCATTGTTTCCCGCCGGCGCCTGGGATCAAACCCAGGACCACAGGATCACAAGTCCAGCGTGCTGTCCGCTCGGCCGACCGGCTCCGACTGGCTCGGTGAGGAGTTTTTGATTGCATATTGGCTTGGGGACCATTCAAGCTTCTTCGCATATCTATCTTGCTTCAGCCTTACTACAGTGTTCTCTTCTCTCTGCATTGAATATAAAATGATCTACCAGAGTGATCTTTTGAGGTTGATGGGCTCCTACCTAGGGTGTACTCCTTTCAAGTAATTCCCTGTCCAAACTCCAAACTCACAAAGGTCACAACATGGTTCGTCTTTCATTTTGGTATCAAATTGTTCGAACTCTAAAGGTGCGCATTTTAAAACTAAGTAGTTCCATAATTATCGAACAATACTGTACATGGAATTTAAATTTTTTTAAAATTTTGGACGCAAAATGTGTCTTCGCCGGACATCCGTAGAGTTAATTACGGACATAATATCCGTCGCCGCGAGCTGAAAGTGTTAAAGAAAGCACTGAAATGGCCTAGGTTTGTGGCACAGCAGCTGCTGGCAGAGTTTGTTTTGGACAAGATTCCCTTTGAGTCAGTTTAGTCAAGTACACAGAATAGTGTTAGATCAGAAGACAGATAGACAGAGTTCTTTCTTTTGCAGTAAGAAGATGTGTGAAGAATAGTGAATGAGTGAATATCAGTCTCCGTGGTGTAGTGGTAAGACACTCGCCTGGCGTTCCGCGAGCGCTATGTCATGGGTTCGTATCCTGGCCGGGGAGGATTTACTGGGCGCAAATCCTTAACTGTAGTCTCTGTTTAACGCAACAGTAAAATGTGTACTTGGATGAAAAAACGATTCTTCGCGGCAGGGGATCGTATTCCAGGGACCTGCCCGAAACGCTACGCGTACTAGTGGCTGTACAAGAATGTAACAACTCTTGCATATATCTCAAAAAAAAAAAAAAAAAAAAAAATATGGCTAGCCATAAAAGTGTATTATGAAGGGTTGGACATAAGATTAGTATATAGAATGATGATTGTCTGCATTGCTATTAAAATAACTTTGGGTCTGTGTATGACTGAAATGATGCTTTTATCCAGGGCAAATTCTGATAATTAAGAAATTCCTTTATTGCAGTCAAAATACGACGAGCTGAGACGTCAGGACAAGGGAGAGAAGAAGTTAACACTGGAGCAAAAGAAGCTGCGTTACATTGAAGCTTGTAATGATGTGTTTGTGCCGATTGTTTCCAGCATCAGACCTCACTTCAGCATTAAAGTAAGTTCTTATGCCTTTTATTTTCATTCGTGCATATTGTTTTGATAAATTTAGCTTTTAAGACTTGCGTCCTCTCTACCGGAAACTATGGTATTTGTGAGTAATGGTGATGGCGAGGAAATGTTTACCATTAGCTGCACTGCTTTATGGAAGAAGACATTTTACATGTAGATAGACAAAGATTATTAGCTGAAGCATTTTGTCTTTGTAAATGCCATTCTGTAAGTATTCTTGATCTTCATCCCTAGGTGTGGGAGGATATGGATCCTTCATTCTTCCTCACTTTTTGGACCCTAACAATGTCTGATCTGGAAGTGCCTGTACACATGTATGAAAAGGAAATCAAGAAAATTGATCCAAATGTAAGTCTGTTTTTATTGTACTAATTTTCCAGGTAGAGACCAATCTTTCATGAACAGCTCTGCTAAATTTTTATAAGGCTAAGTTTATCATAGATCTGAGTCTGATTGTTTGGTATTATATAAGAGATTGGGCAGTCAGGCCTCTTTTATACAGATGACTTAAATTTAATTAGGAAATCTTGAAATGGCACCAAATGAATACAGTACTATCTTCAGTTAATCTTACAGGAATAATGTAACATAATTGGAGCAGAGGATTTATATGCTTCCATTAATTTATAAAAGATATAGTTTTTAATTATTTACTAAAATACCTGTAGTACATAAAATTGACAATAAATTTTCCATTTCCAAATGTAACTGATTTACTTTTCAGGCATCGGCAAATAAGAGGAAGAAGGAAGCGGATCGCTTACTAGCATTAAAGGAAAAACTCCAGGAGGAGGAAAAACGGCAGAAAGAGCACGTTGATCGTGTTCACGCTAGATTACAGCAGGTAAGTTAAAACTAGGCTATGTGTATTTTCTGGTATACCATAATGAAAACAATGATGTTGAGAGAGGTAATTAGCATGCCAGGTATTACTGGCTATGAGGTGGGGTGTAAAGAGGCAGGTCTTACTCCCTTACAGTCACTAGATAAGAACTTAATCTGCTTAGCCAAAGGTGAAACTGCTCATGGTGACCAGTTAAATTTTTAGTTAAACTGAATGGTTAGGATTAATGAATGTAAAGTCAAATTTAACTATCAAATAAAAACATAAATGGTCAAAACAGTTTATCTTGACACTGTTCCTGCTGTGGGAGCAGTAAATCTTGTACTTGATAAGGATAAGTTGTTTAGGTATCACAAGGAGAATTAATACAAGGGCTGTGTTGAAATGTTTGATAACTGGAAGGGGTACGATATGTTTGGTGGGTATAGAAGTATGGAAAGGTTTAACAAGTGTGTTTAAACAAAGCATTACAAATATATATCCTAAACACTAAACAAACAATGGATTCAAGTTGGATAAGCTTTGAATTAGAAGGTAAATAGTTTAGCATTTTGCCTGAAATACAGTTACTTATTTATTGAAAACGAAATAGTAACATCCTACAGACTGAGAGGAAAGTTTAGCGTATTGATTAGACAAGTATACGAGTGGGAATAGTTCGATATAAATATTTAGCGAATAAATCGCAATAACGTGGCTGAAATATCCCAACCAATACTCAAATCTTGGGTGATGATATTACAGTCTGCCCTGAACCCTTATCATGACTTTATATGATGGACTAAAACCTTGTTTACTTTAATTTGATTTCTTATTTGGGGGTCGGGATATTGGGTCAATATTTTGATAGGGGTCAAAATGTTTTCTGTAGATTTCACTATTGAATTCTTATATTTATGCGAGTTGATGGAAGGCAACATGATCATATTATCATTAAATGTTCAAAAAGCAAGATATTTTTATAAATCATAATGAGCTAAAATTGTAGAGAATAGAATGCACTAATCCTATTTCATCATTTGTAGGAAAAGGACCGTTGGTTCATGCTGCGTGCTGCACGGTCTCCCAAGAATGACACAGTTACAGCTTTTCTTCAGCTTTGTCTATTTCCACGGTGCACCTTCACAGCTCTAGATGCTATATACTGTGCTAAGTGAGTTAACTTGTTCCATCATTACTGTTATACTGAAGAATCGTAGAGCACTCGTTTATTAATCCTTTAGCATTGTGATTTCATATTTGGCTATGTTGGTATATTTTATTTTCCTTCTTTGGGGGACAGGAAGCCTGTTAGGCTTATCAAAGTCCCATGACTGGCATTGCATATGATGCAATCTAAACAAGTGACTAACTTCTGGGTACCTATTTACTGCTAGATGCACAGGAACATCAGGTGTATGGAAATGTTCCCAAGCATCGTCCCCTTTGTCATAGTCCAATCCTAACCTAGGTGGCTTATAGAGGTATCCTGAAGCACTCTTGAAAGTTGTGAATATATAATCACCTACTAAGTAAACCAAGTAACCTTGGCTATCGGGAAATGGAAGAGACAGTCCGCCTGAGCCGCGGGAAAACCTCTGCTGTGTCAGCAGAGTCTGAGAGTGAGGAAAACAGACAAGACTACAGGTCCTTTCAAGTAGTAATGACCCTGAAGAGTGGACGAATATGATCCAACATATCTGGATCTGGAGTACCTTTACATAAACAATGAAAGTGTTGTGTGGTTGAAGAGGAATTTTGTTCGTGGTGAAAAACTGTCAGGTAATTGCCCTGTTGAAAGGTGAGGCTCCAGATAGACTTTTTGTGCGGGGTCTTGGCTACAGGAAAGTGGCTAAATATATTGAGGAACCTACCGTATTTTCCGGCGTAAAAGACGCACCCTCGCATAGGACGCACCCCTGTTTTACAAGAGTTTTGTGGAAAAAACTACTAAAGTATGTTTCATCATACATAAATTGAAAGATATTTTAAAGTGTATTTTGTACCCCATCTCATACCTCCTTTGAGATCAGCTGTATAGTTGGTGATATTTTGAGCAAGAGAATTGCTATACAGGATGTGAAACTTGTATTTCTGGATGTGATGTTTTGTGTTGCCGCATCAGGCCACCAGGCCGGGGCACCTCGTGGTGGCGCACTGTCACAATGCTCTGGTTTTGTTGTCATTCACACATTGCAAATGGCTGACAGGCGGCTGAAAGTTGAACATTCCTTTCAAATTTCTAGGGGCATTTTTCATTTAGATGATGAATAAATGTTTCTTAAAGGTAACACAGTCGTTAACTAATGTATAACACATATCAGGCGTGGGTTATGTATGCTGGGTAAGGTGGTGAGATGATTCCTTCATAACTGCCGTTGTATTGTAAGCAATTTTTCGTAAGTTTGTGATAACAGACTGTGATAACTAGGCTTGTTTTCAGTATTTTATTATTAGCAACGATTTTTGTGTGTAGTGATCATACCCAGTATGCTCGTCCGGCTCCCTAGCCTATGGTGCTCGCTCTCACATCCATAATATGGCCGCATTAAATGCAGGGCAATTCTTTTTATACTGAACGTTTAAAAATAAAAAAAGAGCATCTTACATGCCAGCAAATTCGGCATATTATGTACGCCGTGTTCTCGATGGGGACATATGGCTTGGAAATACCAGTTTGAGTCTAGATGTCGGTACTGTGGTAAGAAGCATGATTCACAGGAGTGTAGAATCAGGATTGGAAAAGGAGAAAAGTTCTTGCCATCTTGTTGCAATTTTTGAGGCACCCATAATGCTGGTTTCTCACTACAGTATGTCCCATGAAGCCCCATGTGAAAGATTACAAGCCAGCTTCCACAAGCAAGATAAACAAAGCTCCGAAGACGATTGTTCCTCAGGAACAAGGTAGAAACAGTGGAGAGACAACGATAGCCCCTATGACTAATATTTGGGAGAGAGAGGAATGACAACGATTAAGGGTAGCCTAGTGGCAGTAGGAAATGAAGCCGAAAAAATGTGCCCTCAGCTTGATGAGGTACAGAGCAACGTTGTGAACTCTGAAGTTGGTACACAGATTTTGGAATACTATATCTCGAAATATTAGACAAAGAGAATTGAAGCTCTAGAAAAGATAGCTGTGGTAGCCAGATGGAGTGAAGTGGGGAGTGAAACGGAGTGGGAAGAAAATAAGGAAGAGGTTGAAGTATCACTAATTGTTGTCTCAGAAAAATTTACTTTCCTCTGGTGCTGGCAGTGTTGAACACTGGTGGAAAATGCTGTAACAAACTATGGTAAAGAGGTTTAGAAAAATAAAAGTGGAGGACATAGTTAAGAATTTAATCACCTTTGGTGTTATTAGCAGCACAAATGAGGAGCAAAGAATTGTTCTACATTGTTGGGCGTCTGTGTCTAAGGGGCTTTTGCTTCTTGGTAAATTTGCAAAAAATTGTAAAGTTAGGAGTTTAAAAACTCCTAATGGAAAAAATATTGTCAGGATAATGTCTTAGGACGTTAACAGGTTAAAAAAAATAGAGCAGCAAATGTACATTACTATTATTATTGTATTCTCAGAGAAAATATTGACATTTTATGGAGAGATATTGACATGGAGAGAATTCTTGGGAGGACTAGACACTTTGCCTCAAGAGTGTAATACAGTACTAATATTCTTGTAATATATTTTGCAATATGTACTATGTGAATTAAGGTACTGTATATGTATTTGTGATGTATATTATTATTTGTCTACTATATGGAATTGTGAGCACCTAGAGGAATCTGAAGTAGATGAGGGTAGAAATGCTTAAGCTACTTTTTTTTGGGTGGATTTGATTCTTTTGAGATGGTTTAATTATGTTAATAAACTTACTTGAACTTGAACTTTGCCCATTGTGCTGTCAGAGATGAACATAACCTTGAGTGTTTCTATGTCAAAGATAACCTTGAGTGTGTCTTCATCAAGGATTTGGTCAAAATGACATTATAAAAGGGGATAAATCATTCTTTTAGTTGGAAGTGGTCCTGTTGTTGTTGTTGTTATAGATTCAGCTACTCGGAACATGTTCCAAGTAGCACGGGCTATGGTGAGCCCGTAGTGTAATTACCTGGCACAGGAGCGGTGCAGTTCGTGATAAGGTTCCTTCTGCCACATATATTTCAATTATTCCTGTAAACAAATGGCTGCTTTGTGTAACTTCTTGTTACATTGTAAATTAATAAAACTGAGTTAATTGTTTCTTTTATTTTGCAGGTTTGTGAAGATGCTGCATAACCTCAAAACTCCAAACTTTTCTACGCTCATTTGCTATGATCGCGTAAGTTTGCCTCGTTGAGATCAATGGTTTACAATTCTACAAAATATTAGCACTGATATTTATTTAAAATATCCCAAGCATTTTTCTTTTGACAAAACAGTACTTTGGATTAATATAGTGCTGTAATATTTGTAGTATCTGTTGCGTTCATACCTGGAACATACCTGGAGAGGAGTTTCGAGAGTTCTACTCTGCAACCTGGCCTGGGGCCAGGCTTGACTTGTGCTAACTTGATCCAACAGGCTGTTACTTGGAGCGGCCCGCAGGTCCACCTATCCACTAAAACCTGGTTGGTCCAGCACTTCTTGCAGGAGCTTATATAATTATAAATTATACACAATTCTAAGACTTAAAAATTACCACCTAAAACTTAGTAAGGAAAGGCAGATAGTAAAATCAAGGTAACTAAAAAAATTATGCAGTGAGCGAGCTCCAAAACCAATAAGCTATGATATAATCACAACAATCAGGAGCTCAATCTGAAAGTTGCACCCTCTTTGGTTGTTGGCTCAACTATTTGAGCCATTGGATGGATGCGGGGACACGTTTGATTTGTAGAAATGTAAGGAAATGTTTCGTTCCTACAAAATTAGTACAAGAGCATCAGTGCTTAGCTATCAATGACTAGGGGAAGTGATATCTAGCTCTTTATGTACCACCACCTAGCCATTTATACCTGTCGTGCTAATTATCTCTTTCAGTATTAAAAATTTTCCTCATATTTTTTCTTAAAGTTGTAAATGAAATTGGCTCCAACAACTTCTTCGTATACAGTAATGCATTCCACTTGTTAACCATCTATTTAGGTTATAGATAAATATAGAACACTGGATTGCAATGATATACGGGCAGTTTTATCTTGTATGTTATATTTTAAAATGTGGTGTATGTTTCAGATGTATTGTGACATAACCTACACAGTAGCCTCATGCACAGAACAGGAGGCAAGCAGATATGCAAGATTCCTGCTGGGGACCTTGGAGACAGTGATGCATTGGCATGCATCACAAACTAACTATGAGAGAGAGTGTGCCAACTACCCAGGGTTTGTCACTAAATATCGTGTCTCCAGGCAGGAAGCAAATGATTATGTAGACTATGAAAACTACCGCCATGTCGTTCATAAGTGGCACTATAAAATAACAAAGGTAAGCTCTTAACTGGTTGTAATACAATTAGAATCATACAATGTAGTTTCACTTAGTTGGATTCATAATAATATACAGTATATGTGAAAGAAAACAATGATTATTGCAAAGATGCATAGAATAAAGAGCCACCCACTGGGTGAAGCTGCAGTGTGTGTGGAGAGTAACTACTGGGTGAAGCTGCAGTGTGTGTGTGTGTGGGAGAGTAACTACTGGGTGAAGCTGCAGTGTGTGGGAGAGTAACTACTGGGTGAAGCTGCAGTGTGTGTGGAGAGTAACTACTGGGTGAAGCTGCAGTGTGTGTGGAGAGTAACTACTGGGTGAAGCTGCAGTGTGTGGGAGAGTAACTACTGGGTGAAGCTGCAGTGTGTGGGAGAGTAACTACTGGGTGAAGCTGCAGTGTGTGGGAGAGTAACTACTGGGTGAAGCTGCAGTGTGTGTGGGAGAGTAACTACTGGGTGAAGCTACAGTGTGTGTGGAGAGTAACTACTGGGTGAAGCTACAGTGTGTGGGAGAGTAACTACTGGGTGAAGCTGCAGTGTGTGGGAGAGTAACTACTGGGTGAAGCTGCAGTGTGTGTGGGAGAGTAACTACTGGGTGAAGCTGCAGTGTGTGTGGAGAGTAACTACTGGGTGAAGCTGCAGTGTGTGTGGAGAGTAACTACTGGGTGAAGCTGCAGTGTGTGTGGAGAGTAACTACTGGGTGAAGCTACAGTGTGTGTGGGAGAGTAACTACTGGGTGAAGCTGCAGTGTGTGTGGGAGAGTAACTACTGGGTGAAGCTACAGTGTGTGTGGGAGAGTAACTACTGGGTGAAGCTGCAGTGTGTGTGGAGAGTAACTACTGGGTGAAGCTGCAGTGTGTGTGGAGAGTAACTACTGGGTGAAGCTGCAGTGTGTGTGGAGAGTAACTACTGGGTGAAGCTGCAGTGTGTGTGGAGAGTAACTACTGGGTGAAGCTACAGTGTGTGGGAGAGTAACTACTGGGTGAAGCTGCAGTGTGTGTGGAGAGTAACTACTGGGTGAAGCTGCAGTGTGTGTGGAGAGTAACTACTGGGTGAAGCTGCAGTGTGTGTGGAGAGTAACTACTGGGTGAAGCTACAGTGTGTGGGAGAGTAACTACTGGGTGAAGCTACAGTGTGTGTGGAGAGTAACTACTGGGTGAAGCTGCAGTGTGTGTGGGAGAGTAACTACTGGGTGAAGCTACAGTGTGTGTGGAGAGTAACTACTGGGTGAAGCTACAGTGTGTGTGGAGAGTAACTACTGGGTGAAGCTGCAGTGTGTGTGGAGAGTAACTACTGGGTGAAGCTGCAGTGTGTGTGGAGAGTAACTACTGGGTGAAGCTGCAGTGTGTGTGGAGAGCAACTACTGGGTGAAGCTGCAGTGTGTGTGGAGAGTAACTACTGGGTGAAGCTGCAGTGTGTGTGGAGAGTAACTACTGGGTGAAGCTGCAGTGTGTGGGAGAGTAACTACTGGGTGAAGCCACAGTATAGATTCCCCAATTTGTATCCATCAGTTCAAATCATTGTCTTACTACCTTACAAGAATCTACAAACGTCTATGACCCAAATTGACTTTCAACTTGTATGAATTGTGAAATTTATTCACAATATTTTGCAGTTCCTTTTCACTGTTGAGTAAAAGAGTGAAAAAAAAATCATCTGTGTACAGTACACATCAATAAAAATAGTGTACTCGTATCATAATCTACTTCCCAATTATTATGTGTTCCATTTTTCTTCAATCTCACTTGGCACATCTTCATGCATCCCTTTCCTTCTCAGTTTCCTCTATGACAACGTAATGAATCATGCATTATGTCTTCTCCATGTTTCCCTATTGAAAGCCACTACAAGAATATGTACCATATTTGCCGACATATTTGGTGCTCCCATTTTACAAAGATATTCTGTGGAAAAATCTGTTTTAATGTGTGTTATTGAAAGGGCTGTTATAGTGATGGAGTTTAGCAAGTCTTTCACTGTTAAGGATGCTACTCTAAAGACGCGGAATCAAGTTACAACATTATTTATTGGTGATACGAGGGAAGTCTTTGGTTTGAGATTTGTCTGGTGGAAAGCACAGACTTGCTTTCATACAAAGAAATTTAAATAAGAGGATGAGCCTGAAACGAGAATTTATTTGATCACATTATTGGTCTCAAAACTCCAAAAATGAAGAAAGCATTGGAATCTGAGGCTCAGGAAGAGAATATGGATATTGTGAGACAAAGGTATCCTTATTAGAACATTTTACTGTTGAGTATAATGATGTTATTCTCAATTCTAAGAAGAATGTTGAAAGTGATACTAATGAAGAACGCTCTATACCAAGTAAGGGCTTAGAAGTTGCTATTAATTACATAGAATTGGGAAAGGAATCGACGATATAACAAGTTATTGGCCAGTCAGTTCCATCTACATTAGATAATTTTGTTTGTTAAAAAGCACCACTTGAGAAAGAACCTTTGGAAACTTGTGCCAACTATGGTAGCGAGGAATGAAGTGGGCAGTAATACTACACTGAGTGTGATGCACATTATGAAGGCCTGCAGCTGGCACTGTGTAACTACTGGGTGAAGCTTCACTACAGCTTCACCCATGGATTGAGGTAAGTCAGTTATAAACAAGAAATTGAATATAATATTAGTAAAAAGAGTTTGGTATTGTAATACAGACATGTGATCTACTTCCCATTGATCAGCATTGTTGACACGTTCTGGACAAACACACTTCATTTTTCTTGTGTTAATGTTCGATTCCAATTAAGGATTTCCCCCTAAATTATTCAATCCATCCTTCTAAAATGATTGCAACTATTTTGTTGAAAATAACAAACATGTATTATTGGACCCACAGAAAGTCGAGTTTGTACTATTAATTTTTGTAGATGGCACAAAAAAAAAATACAAACTTATTTCTTAGCCCTAGTATAGCACATACTAGGGCTAAGAAATATATGTACTATATTTGTACTATCAAATATAGCATATATTTGTCCTAGGATTGCAGGGACAGTTTAGGTAAGTTCTTTAGTTACATTTTCATTGATTTAGAATGTCATTTGGGCTAATTCATAATACAAAACAAGAATTTTTTGGGGTCGGATAGTATACATTTGTACATTTGACCAATGTACATTTGATGGGGCCTTGACTTACGAATTTAATTCGTTCCCAGAGACTGGTCATAAGTAAAAAAAAAATTACCATAAGAAATTATGTAAATTGAATTTATCTGTTTCACATCCCCAACAGTATTAATTTAAAAATACATTTTACACCTAATAACTAATTTTGTACTAGCTACAATACAGTACTCTATGTATATCTTAACCTTGAATGAGGACTCTTGTTGGCGTATGGAAGACGGTGAGTACAGAAGGAGGAGAGGTGTGTTTGGAAGAGAAGTCCCCTTCCATTATAACATCAGGCAGTGATGACTTTAATGGGGTACTCTCTCCTACGTTTTGCCTGCATACCACTAGGACCTGCTTGTGGCTCACTGCTTGTTTTTCTCACTACAAACCTGTCTAGCGATATTTGTTTTTCCCTATGTTGTAACACTTGTCTGAAGTGAGACATCGCATTGTCATTAAAAAGATTAACACAGCGGCCTGCTACAGCTTGATTTGGGTGACACTTTTCAGCAAAACTTTGCAATTCTTCCCATACTGCACACACATTTTCTTAATAAATGAGGAAGGGACATCCTCTACTCTGCATCAATAACCCTCATGTCATTTTCATGTTTACGAATGATCTCCTCTTTTTCCTCTATGGTCATCCTCACATGTGTTTTCTTAAGTTGAACCTTACCACTGACTTTCTTGGGACCCATGACATGATATATATAATAATACTTTTATGTTCAAAAAACAAAGAAGCACAAAAATAATTGAATTCTTTACAACCACGATCGTCACTAAACGGGCTGCTCTGGTAAACTGAGGCAGGGTCGGCTGTGCCACCAGAAACCATGCGATTGGTCGACCCATGCGCGTATCAACAAAGTCACTAGTCGAGGCAAAAATCGTAAGTCGAGTCATTTTCCGACGAAATTTACGTCGTAATTTGAAAAATTTGTAAATAGGGACAGTCGGAAGTCAAGGGTCAAGGTGCCACTATAGTTGCTTAAAATCAATCCTAATGAATGCAAAATATAATAATGATGAGGAACCATGATAAAGAAGAAAAAGTAATAGATTTATCAAATTAACACTTTCGCATTCCCGTCGTGCGTGTCCAAGCCTACCCCAAGGTGGGCTGAGCGTTTCACGTGAGCGGTCTGCCACACTAAAATTTGTATACTCTTTTTCAGTTTTCTCACCTCAATACTTGTTGTACGTCGTTCATTTTGGTATCAAATTGTTCTCAATAAAATTCCCTACACGGGTATATGCATATAAGGTCCAAAAACCTGACGTGCCACCCGCAACAAACCCAAAAATCGGCCGAGCGTTACCCGTGAGCGCTCAATAGCACTAAAATGTGTACGTATACTCCTTTCAGTTTTCTCATGTCAGTTGCCGTGTTACATCGTTCATTTTGGTATCAAATTGTTTACAATAGAATTCTCTAAAGGGATATATGCATACATGAGGTAAAAAAGCCAGGCATGCCACCAGCAGCAAACCTGAATATCGGATGATCATTACCCGTAAGCGTTATACACAAAATGTGTATACTGTACTCTGTTCAGGCTTTCTCGCCTCAATTGTAATGATACGTCATTTATTCTGGTATCAAATTGTTTGTAATCTAAAGTTGCACATTGTAACACTAGTTCCATAATGATCTAAAAAATAGAATTTTAACAAATATTTTAATTTTGGACGCCACATGCGTCCCCTCCGGACACCCACAGAGTTATTTGTGGACGTCAAATCCATCCTCGGAGGACGAAAGTGTTATTAAATGACCTAAGGACAAATATTACACCTAGTTAATTGCCAAAAGCATGCGAGGGATTATTTGGCGAATACTTAACACTTTCGCGCCCCCT